GGCGGGTGTGGCAGGAGGAGCAGGTCGCTGCAGTGCGCTATCCAGCCTGGACGTGGATGGCGCCAAGGCCCCGCCTACGCGGCGAACTGCTTGCCGCTGGTGGCGTGGGCCAAGGCGGTCTTCGCCCGTCTCAGGCCCGCGGCCGGCATGCGCGAGGTCTTCGGGGCGGCGCGACCAGCCCACTGGGGCCAGTCCACGGGGCATGCGGGTGCGGTGCGCCTCAGCCAAGGCCGCGTCGGGCGGTTCGCCGTGGGGCGCGTGGGTCACTGACAGGGGGAATCGATCGACCTAAAGTCCCATAGTTCTGAGATGGTCAGGGCGCTGGTCGAACGGGGAGTGCAGAGTTCCTTTCTCCGCTTTGTGCCTAGCACTTCCACGGGCAGCTGGCAGGGCCACCCGCGACGCACCCTGCGCGGGCGGCGCTAGAGGTGCTGAGGGCGCAGGGCGGCGCGGAGCAGGTGGCGCTGGTCGAGAGCTTGGTGTGCGGCGGGCTGGTCTTTCAGACTGACCTGTGTGCGGAGCGATCCGCCGCCTCGGCCGATTGCCAATTGTGCGGCGTTGGCTTGGGCTCGCACCGCCGCAGGCTCTTCGCTCGCGACGGCGAGGCGTTTGTGGCGAGGGGCATGGGCCTGGTGGGCGTGCGCGCGGCTGGAGCTGCAGCTGGCATCGCGGACATGGGCTTCGTGAGGTGCCTCGCCCCGCTCGAGCTGGAGGCGGCGCCCGTCCCCGCTGCGGACGAACGGTGTCTTCGAGCGGGCGTCCTGCGGCGTGGGGGTTTCTCGGGCACGGTCTGCGTCGACGGGTCGGCCTTCTTCCTGCAGCTCGCCGAGCTCACGAGGACGGGCTGGGCTGGCATTATGATCGCAGAGGATGGCAGCACCGTCGGCGGCCTGATGGGCGCGGTCCCAGGAGTCGTGCAGGAGATCGGATTTGCTGAGCTCTGCGCCCTGGCACGCGCGCTGCGTGAGGCGGCCCAAGGCGAGCTATGCGTGGCCACTGGCTGCAGGAATGTTGTTTGTGATTTTCGGGAGGGGCAAGGCTGGCGCAGGAGCCCCGAATGCAAGTGCGCGCGGCTCTGGAGTGAGATCTGGTTCAGGGTCCACGACATGGGCGAAAGCTTCGAGCTCTGTTGGGCGACAGCCCACACCAGCTGGGCCGCAGCAGAGCGCGCGGGCACGAAGGCGCACTGGCACATCGGCAACCACGAGGCCGACAAGAGGGCCAAGTTGGGGCCCAGCTGCACGCCTACTTCGAGGAGGTCGGCGAGCTCGCCAGGCGTGTGAGCGCGGCGACTGTCGCCGCCACGAATCTTCTGCGCCACTATGGCGCGGTGCTGAAAAAGGACGCGGACGAGGGGTGCCCCGATCGGTCGGCTCTCCCCCCGCCCTGCCCGCCCCAGGTGCTTTCATTGGTCTCGGGTCCCAGTGGGCGCGCCTGGGGGTGTCTCGGGGGGTCCTGGGTCTGCAGCAGGTGTGGGGCCACGAACGGGCTCCGATCTAGGATCGTTCGCCACCCCTGCCCTGGCGAGCCCACGCCCGCGGCGATCACCCATCCCTCCCATAGGCTGTGGGTGATTCGGGGTGGGCGTGGGACGCGGGGGGGGGGCGGTCGGGCCTTTGGGAAGGACGGGTCGATTGTCTTCTGCAGACAGTTCGGTGCTTATGCCCGTCGGCAGACCCACTTCGAGGCCAGGCAGTGTCGCCCCTGGACGTCTCGGCCCAGGGCTTCGGTCCGTCTGGGGGGGGCGACCCTGGAGCGCCTGCTGTCTGGTCGGGAGCCCCCGTCTGGTGTTTTTAGGGTCAGCCGTTTCCGCTTTCGCGTGTTGCGGGGGCCGAATCTGGGTTTTTGGCGGCCGCCCCGGGGGACTGAGGAGTTCTCGGGGTGGGGGGGGTGGGGGGCTGGCCCCTGAAACCTTTTCCGCGCCTCGTTGTGCGAGGGTCGGGCCCTCGATGTCGGGGCGGATCCTACTTTGAGTAGGCGGGCTCGGCTCGCCGAGCCGACCACGCTTTCTGGAGACTAGAGGAGCTAGAGGAAGACGAGGAGGAGGAGGAGGAGGAGGAGGAAAAGGAGCAGGCGCGAATGTTATGGGGAAGGGGAAAGGAGGGGGATAGGGGGGACGGGGGAGCGGGAGGAGGGAGCACCGATCGGGAGCGGGCGCAGCGGGATCACCGCAGCGACAGCCGGGGCGGGAGGGAGGGACGCCCTGACGCCGCTTCTGGCGGCGCCCCTGACTACAGTTAAGTCGGTCTTGTCCCTCTACAGGGGGAATATTCAAAAATAGACAAGTTTGTGAATTTAGCGATTTTTCAATGGTGATGATGATGATGATGATGATGATGATGATGATGATGATGATGATGATGATGATGATGATGATGGTGATGATGATGATGATGGTGATGATGAGGATGAGGATGAGGATGATGATGCTGATGATGCTGATGCTGATGATGAGGATGATGGTGGTGGTGATGCGGATGACGACTATGATTATGATGATGGGAATGATGATGCTGGTGACCATGATGATGCTGATGATGATGCTGATGATGAGGACAGGGGATGGGGATGACGATGCTGAAGCTGATGACTGCGATGCTGATGATGTTGATGATGATGATGCTGATGATGATGACGATGATGATGATGATACTGATGACGACGATACTAATGATGATGCTGATGATGGTGCGGATGACGATGATGATGGTGATGGCGATGATGGTGCTGATGGTGAGTATGAGGCTGTTGATCACGATGACGACGATGATTGTGATGGGGATGGTGACTGTGATGAGAAATGTAACTGTGATGGTGATGGTGCTTTGGATGACGCTGACGATGCTGATGCCGTCGTTGCAGATGCTGCTTCTGACCATGATGGTAACTTTGCTGATAAGGGTGACGACTATCAGGATGGTGATGTTGCTCGCGGCGGTGCTCGCGAAGGTTGTGATGTTGATGATGACAATGCTGATTCTGATGACGCTGATGGTGATGCTGATTTGGAGTACGGCGAGGAAGTTGATGCTGCGGATGAAGATGGTGATGTTGGTGGTGGTGATGATGTTGTTGCTGCTGATGATGTTGTTTACGATGATAATGCTGATGATGATCATGCTGACGATCACGATACTGGTGTTGGTGATAGTGATGTTGGTGGTGACGACGATGGTAGTGATGATGATGATAGCTGTGCTGATGATGACTGCCATGATGATACGGACTCATGGTGCCGGTGATGGTGGTGCGACTGACGGTGATGATGAAAAGATGACGGTGAGAGTTCGGGGGGGGACCAAGTAATTCCAGACGGCATTTCCGATGCTGCAATGCACACTCAGGCCCCAAGTCCTCTCACAAGCCCCATGTCACCGCGGGAAGCGGATCCTTGGAAGATGAGGACCCCTGGCCCTGGGGTCTGCCATTCAGGCGATAGCCCCATCTCAAGAGGGTGCCCCATGCTGCAGAAGCACAGAGTGTAGTGAAGCGTGCAGCGATAGCCTGGCTTTGAGCAGGAGCCGCCCTCTCCGTGCAAGCGTGGCGTGAGTCTGAATTTCTGGTGATAGCAGCCTGAGGCGATCTCGAGGGGGAGTTCATTACGGAGGTAACACGCCCTTCAGCAGTGGAGTTGTAGTAGTAGTTGAATCTCTGATGATGCAATGTTCGGCGATACCCAGCACATGAAACCGAATGCGCCCGCGCGCCTATCGGCAGCTGCGAAGACGGACACGGCAACCTTATCCTGACAACGATCCGCCTCGCGTTCATGCGTATGTGTTGGAACATGGGCGCTCGGGGCGCGAGGGCGAGAGCCTCTTCTGAGACGCGGCCCTCCCTCCATCCGCGTGGCAGTCGGGAGAACTTCGACGAGTGGCCGCGGGACTCGAGGAGAGAACCGCCTGGATCAAGAACGACCCGCCTCCATCCGTCCAGCCGCCGGAAGCGCTCGCGAGGCGAACGCGCGAGGCGCTGCGGCGAGAGCCACACGGCGAAGACCACAGGCTGGAGCTGTGCTGGAGAACGACCTTTGATGGCCCTGAAACCAACCACCACCACCACAAGTTCGAGGGGTGAAGGAGGAGGAGGAGGAGGAGGAGGAGGACCCTCTCCCCCTCCAACTTATGGTGGTGTTGGTGGAAAAGGGGCCCATTAGCCCTGGCTCGGAAGGGGTTTCCTTCTGCTCCCTCTTCTGTGGGCTCTGCGCTCCGGACTGCTCCTCGTCCGGGGTGTCGCCACGGGGCCTTGGGCCCTCGGCGAAGGGGGTCCACGTTCTCGACCAGGTTTCGCCCCGCCCGCCCTGCCGAGACGTCTGGTGGCGTGGCGCGGAGGAGTGCAGCGGAGGCCCATGCCAGGAAGCAGCCTGCTGGCCTCCAGGGTGCCCTGGGTCTCTCGGGTCTCGACTTGGTTGCCCTGAAAAGCGTGGCGTGCCCACGCCAAAAAATCCATGGACGTCCTGGGGGTCTCAGGGTTGGGTTGCTTGTGGAAGGTTTCTTGTGGTCGGGCCCCTACTGTACAGTCAACCCGTGCCAGATGGACGCACGATGAGGATGCCAGGGCCTTGGAAGGTCCATCTCGAAGCTTTTCGAGCGTGGCGCGGCCAACGAAAGTGGCCAAGGATGGACCGTGGAGGGAAGGATGCAATGGGGTACCCTTGGGAAGCTTGCCCGTGCTCACTATGCGGGTCGACTGTGTTTCCTACCCAAAGGTAGGGGTGGAGGAGGCTGACCTGGACGGCGCGGAGAGGAGGCAGACGGGCAGCACACAGAGCGAGCAGCGGTGAGCGAGGTGGACGTGGAGGATGAGCCTTGCGTCAAGGAAGGAAAAACCACCTGGACCGGACAATGGGCGTGTACTGAACGGCCCTGGGCATTTACGAAACAGCCCTACCCTGTTCGGTTCCTTATTTGGGCGCGTTTAGTAAACGACTTCGCGCGTCGGGGTGATTCTTCTGGGGGGGGATATTTGTTGACTTCCAGGAGAGCGAGGAGGACGTGGAGGATGAGCCTTGCAGCGCAGCCTGCCGCCTCAGCCCGCCGCCGCGGCGAAGAGCAACACGCTCATGCCGCCCGGCGCCGCGGCCGGGGCGGCGGCCGGGGGGCACAGCAAGTTCCAGCAGGTGGCGCGGAGGCCGTGCGCCCCCCGCCGCCGCGCGGGCCCCCTTCGCAGCCCCGGGCCGCCGGGGAGGCCCCGCGCCCTGGTCGGGGGCAGCCAAGGTCACCGAGCGCGCTCCACTACTAGCAAACGTGTGAAAAAACATATCTTTCAGGCGATCGCAGACATGGCCTCCTCCTCCTCCTCCTCCTCCTCCTCCTCTTCCTCCTCTTTCTCCTCCTCGTCCTCCTCCTCCTCCTCCTCCTCCTCTTCCTCCTTCTCCTTCCCCACAACCTCCTCCTCCTCCTCCACCTCCTCCTCCTCTTCGGCCTCCTCCTCCTTGAGGGATCTGCTCGACTCCAGTCCGGCGATCGCAAACATGGATTAGGGGGGCGTGGATTAGCGGCGGGTCCCGTTTCCTTGGGAAATCGAGGATTTCCGCCTCCGAACGGGGCGGCAGCGGCCGTATTTGGGGAGGGCACGTCCCCCGATCCATGGATTTGGCGACCGCGCGCCAAATCCATGGATCGCTAATCCATGTTTGCGCGCCCCCGAATGTGTCGTAGATCCCCCGCGGCGGATCCAGGCCACTTGCGAGTAGTTACTCTGCGAGTAGTGGAACGCGCTCGTCTACAAGAGGGGGGTGATGACCAGGGTGTTTGTGTGGTCATCATGGCGGGGGCCACGAGATCTCTCCAGATGTCATGGCTCCTCCTCGTATCTCAGTGCGTCCCCGGCCGCGCCCCCCCCCTGGGCCACACACGTGCCGCTGGCCATGATTTGCACCCCCCCCTCTCCAAATTGACTGGGCTCTGTGGGAGGCCCTGCGTGCGCAGCGCGAGGCAGGTCTGCGCCGTGCGACGCGGTGGCACGCAGGAGGAGGAACCGGATCCCACGCCTCTGCCCTGCGGTCGTTCTCCCCTTCTCTTGGGCCTCCTTGGAGGTCCTCGCGGCCACCGCTGGATTCGCCTTGGTCAGAACGCACCCTACGAGAGGTCCGGGGAGTAGCAGTATCGGTACCTTTTGGTCTCCCCAGGTGCGCACCGTACAGCGCAGCGCACCAGTGCGTAGCATGCCCCGCCTAACACATCGTGGTGTAGGCACGGACTGCTGTAGCATAACATCGATACGCGTGGCGCAGTGTGGCCTTGGACGGCATGGCAGGGCTACCATTCCATTTCACCGTTTCCAGCTGCCTGCTGCAATTCCGCCACTGCCAGCGAAGGACTCCTTGGTGGCAACCTCTCGAGCACCGCCCAGGCGGCCGTCACGACACCTTCCCTTCCTTCCCACCGTCAAGATGCTGAACGAAGGACCGCTTTGGTTCCAGAAGCGGCTGAATGCTCATTAGGTTCTGATGTGGTTGCTTCTCTGGCGCTCCTCGTCCGCGCAGGCGGCCTTTGGGGTCAACCAGGGGCCTCGTTCCTTGCCAAGCGTGCCTGCTGGCCGCAACCTGTGGCTGCACTTCTCGAGGATCGGGCCGAACGAAAGGGGGAAGATCGGAAAGGTGGGGTTACGAAATCTGCTGCATGCAGCTGGTGTCCGCCCCGCCGCCTTGCCCATTCCTCGATAAGTGGGCGCCTCCCGGCGCCAGGAGGCGCTGGGAAAGTCAGCTGCGTGAGCTGATTATCTACCCTACCCTTTGCTAGCCCCCCCCCCCAGTCGATCCCCCCGAGAGGAGGCTCAGGAGGAGGAGGAGGAGAAGGAGGAGGAGGCTGAGGAGGAGGAGGAGGCGGAGGAGGAGGAGGAGGCGGAGGAGGAGGAGGGGGAGGAGGAGGAGGAGGAGGGGGAGGAGGAGGAGGGGGAGGAGGAGGAGGAGGAGGAGGAGGACGAGGACGAGGACGATGATGATGATGATGATGATGATGATGATGATGATGATGCTGATGATGATGATGATGATGATGATGATGATGATGATGAGCATGATGATGATGATGATGATGCTGATGATGCTGCTGATGATGATGATGATGATGGTGTTGGTGGTGATGATGATGATGCTGATGCTGATGCTGATGTTGATGATGATGAGTATGATGACGATGATGATGATGGTGATGATGATGATGACGATGATGATGATGGTGATGATGCTGATGATGATGCTGTTGCTGCTGATGATGATGATGCTGATGATGATGATGATGATGATGATGGTGATGGTGGTGATGATGATGATGATGATGATGATGCTGATGATGATGATGATGGTGATGGTGATGGTGACGGGGAAGAGAAGGAGGAGAGTGAGGAGGAGGAGGAGGACGAGGAGGAGCAGTGGAGGAGGAGGAGGAGGAGGAGGAGGAGGACGAGGACGAGGAGGAGGAGGAGGAGGAATAATAATATCAATAGTAATACTACTCCTACTACTACTACTACCACTACTACTACTACTACTACTACTACTACTACTACGACTACTACTACTACTACTAATAATAATAAGAATAATAATAATCATAATACGAATAATCATAATAATACTAATAATAATATTACTAATAATAATAATAATATTATTATTAATAAAAATAATAAGAATCATAATATTAATAATAATAGTACTACTAATACTACTAATAATAATACTGCTAATAATATTTTGAAGAAGAGGAGGAGTTTGAGGAGGAGGAAGGAGGAGGAGGAGGAGGACGAGGAGGAGGAGGAGGAGGATGAGGAAGAAGAAGAGGAGGAGGAGGAGGAGGAGGAGGGGGAGGGGGAGGAGGAGGAGGAGGAGGAGGATGAGATGAGGAGGAGGAGGAGCAGGAGGAGGAGGAGGAGAGAGGAGAACGAGGAGGAGGAGGAGGAGGAGGAGGAGAGGAGGAGGAGGAGGAGGAGGAGGAGGAGGGAGGAGGAGGAGGAGGAGAAGGGAGGAGGAGGAGAGGCGGGGTGGGAGGAGGAGAAGCAGGAGGAGGAGGAGGAGGAGGACGACGAGGAGGAGGTGGAGGAGGAGGAGGAGGAGGAAGGGGGAGAGGAGGGAGGAGGGAGGAGGGGGAGGGAGGAGGAGGAGGGAGGAGGGGAGCCAGGGAGCAGGGAGCAGGGAGCAGGGAGCAGGGAGCAGGAGCAGGGAGCAGGGGCGGAGCAGGGAGCAGGGGGAGGAGGAGGCGGAGGCAGGAGGAGGAGGAGGCGGAGGCGGAGGAGGAGGAGGAGGAGGAGGAGGAGGAGGAGGAGGAGGAGGAGGTGGAGGAGGGAGGAGAAGGAGAGGAGGAGGAGGAGGTGGAGGAGGAGGAGGAGGAGGAGGATGGGGGAGGGGAGGGGGAGGGAGGAGGGAGGAGGGAGGAGGGAGGAGGAGGGAGGAGGGAGGAGGGAGGAGGGAGGAGGGAGCAGGGAGCAGGGAGCAGGGAGCAGGGGTCAGGGAGCAGGGAGCAGGGAGCAGACGAGCTCGCCGAACTTCTTCTCCAGGCACTCTGCCTCCGGTGCTGCCGGGCCCAGCCAGCATGCGCCACCTGGCCCTCGGCCCCTTGCGGCGTGCGCCACGCGTCTGGAATGCCAGAGCACCTTGTCCTCCACCTTCTCTCGGCGGGTCTTGACCGTCACAACACCTACGATGCTTGCGAGAGTGCACAATGACGTGCTAATGATGTCCGTCTTCACCTCGCATCCTCCATGGCTTTCCGAAGCCTTTCCCATGACGACCTTGCCAAAGAAATCGCTCCTCCCGAGCTTTGTTGTCATCTTCTCCTGGCGGGTCTCGATCCTCACAACTCCCGGAATGAAGACGACATGGCCCGCCCCGCGGCTCGGGCGGCTGCGCCCTTTTCAATTGCGCCGCCCTCAAGGGCGCATCCTGGACCCGAAAGGGGCTAGGAGGAGGAGGAGGAGGAGGAGGAGGAGGAGGTGGAGGAGGAGGAGTGCCTGATGGCCGCAGCTCGTGGCTGCACTTCTCGAGGAGCACCCCACGGAGGCTCCGTGTGTCCGCGGCGGCGGCTCGCTCGCGCCGCCGCCCCCCCGCCCCGCCCAGTTCTATGCTGGGCGTGCGGACCACCACGGCCCTCGGCACCTCCTTCTTCCTGGAGAAGCAGGCGCGGTGCGCCACGGCTGGCGGCACTCGTGGCCACCACATCTTGCCCTCGGTCGTCCCTCCTCCTCCTCCTCCTCCTCCTCCTCCTCCTCCTTCTCCCCTCCTTCCTCACCCCCGCCCTCCCCTTCCCCTCCCCGCCCTCCCCTTCCCCTCCCTCCCTCCAGGCAGCCCCGGCGCGCCCGTCCCCCGCCCGGGGGTGGGCGACATCGTAATGGGTAAGTCCACAAGCGGTTTAAGAAATGATGTCCCCCCCCTCCCCCTTTTCCGGATCCCGACTGCCATAAATTCGCATCCGGATAACTTTAGGTTTTATCTGTCCCCTGGAAAAACATCCATGGATGCCGATCGATGCCACTTATATTATAGATACCTCGGTACCAGGGAGAATGGCGATGGGGATCTTCCCGTCTTCCGATCAGAGAGTGTTTTTTTCACATTAGGTTTTCGCCATTGGGTGTTGGAATTCAACATCGCTCCCGTGGTATAAAATCTATCAGCGGTATGCCGCGCGCGCGCGCGTTGGCGATTGGCATTTGTGCATTCAATATCGCATATCCATATGAGGATGTTCCCGTCTCCCGATCAGAGAATGAATTTTAGAGTTCAACATCGCTCCCGTGGTATAAAAATCCGTTAGCAGCATGCCGCCGCCGCGCGCGTCGGCGATTGGCATTTGTGCATTCGGTGTCGTATATCCACATGGGGATTGTCCCGTCTTCCGATCACAGAATGAATTTTTACATCGGGTGTTCGCCATTGGGTTTGGGAGTTCAACATCACTCCCGGTGTATCAAATATCAGCGGCATGCCGCCGCCGCGCGCGCGCTGGCGATTGGCATTGTTGCGTTCAGTGTCGTATATCCACATGGGGATTGTCCCGTCTTCCGATCAGAGAGTGCATTTTTACATCGGGTGTTCGCCATTGGGATTGGGAGTTCAACATCGCTCCCGTGATATAACAATCCGTCCGGGGCATGCCGCCGCCGCGCGCGCGCGCGCCCGCGCGCGCGTTGGCGATTCGCATGTGTGCATTGTGTCGTATATCTACATGGGGATTTCCCGTCTTCCGATCAGAGAATGATTTTTTACATATGGGGTTTTCGCCATTGGGTTTTTGAGTTGAACATTGCCCCCGTTGTATAAAACTTGATCAGCTGCGCGCCGCATTTGCGTATTCAGTGCCGTTTCGCAACCCACACAGGGTGCGCGGTGCGCAGAGTGTGGTCCTTGAGCGCAGTGTCGCAGGGCGTGGCAGGCGTGGCCCGACGCCAAAGGGGGGTGCGCAGGAATCTGCCCCTGCACGCAGGGCGCCAGGGCGGTCGCGGGGACGTATCCAGCGATCCATTTTCCCCCGCCTCCATTTTGTTTTCTATAGGCGCGCTACAGCGCTGGGGGAAACCATTGTTTAAACTGTCTCCCCAACGTGATTTTTGAAAGCAGCTTTTGAACATTACTTGGCGCCGTCGGGGGTCCGAGGTGGCCCCAAACTGGTCCTGGCCAGCAGGAGGGGCGGGCCAGTTCCAGGTGCTGGGTTCGGGAAAGTTGTCTTTGCCTTCTTCGGCCCCGAGACCGCCAAGAGCGGTTCCGGGGCGAAATCCTCCGCCAGAAGGACCCTGGGAGTGGCCCAGGGACCGATTGCGAGCGGACTTGTCAGGAGGGGTAAAAAACATACAGACACAATCGATCGTCGATTCCGAAGAAAAGGTGGGAGACTATAGGACGTGGGCGGGAAGACGAAAATATATACACATATTGGAACGTACAGGGAATCCTGCTATTAGTTTCTCGTGTGTATTTATTTGTGTGTCCCAGAGCTCCTTCAATTTGCATTCATCCCCCCCTCTTGACCGAGTTTTCCCGGGGTTCATCCAGTTCGGATTCCCAGGCCGCCTCCAGCCTCTTCTCTCCTTTTGCTCTCTCGCAAACGTCGTGTTGTGTGCTTGCATTCTGCCGCTGCCGTACGCGCCCATGCACTCAGTTGGTACGCCCCTTGAGATCCTTCAGCTCGGCGATCTGGCCCCTGAGCGGATCCATGGCGACTGGGGAGGCGAGGACTACTGAATTGATGGATTTCGGCATGCCAGGACGTCGAAATCTACCAGTTCAGTAATCCTCGCCTCTCCAGTCGCCGTGGAGACGCTCAGGGGGCCAGATCGCGGAGCTGAAGGATCTCAGGGTGCGTGACAGTTTGCTGGCTTCGTACCTCGAGCAGTTCTGATCCTGTGGTGGCAGGTCATCCCCTGAGGGCTGGCGTCTTCCTTCCTCTACGGCTTCTCGTTCGACCCGTGAACCCACCAACGGCCGCGTTTTTTAGCACCCGGCTTCAAGCAACCCGCAGTGGAAGCCTATGCCAAGAAACAGCCTGCTTGACTCCAGGGTGCCCTGGGCTTCTTGAGTTTCGATGGTTTTGCCATGAAGGGCGTGGCGTGCCCGCGCCAAAAATCCATGGACGCCCTGGGGTCTTAGGGTTGGGTTTCTTGTGGAAGGTTCTTTGTGGTTGAGTTGGGCCCTTACTGTGCCTCGTTTATTTGCAGCCCCTGCTCATGTTCTCTTCACTCACAGGACGGGTGTCCTTCGAGGGTCTCCGCTTTATGGCCCCTTCTGGCCAATCCGCAGGATTGCCCGCGTCTGGGAGGGCCGAGTTTTCGCAGGGGTTCGCTGGCTTCAGGGTGCGCAAACGAGTGCAGGCCCCCGCCAGGAAGGCGCGGACCTGCCCGCCTTCCCTTGGCCCCGCCAGCTTCCCTTTCCCCGCCCCCCGCTCGCTACTCCTCGCAGGAGCTCCCAAGCGCGGAACACGCCTATGGGAGACGCTGGCCAGGACGCTGGAAAACCTGCCTGGCGTGCTTGAAGTTTCCATCAAGCCCGCTCCTCCCTCCCCCTCCGCGCTGGCCCTCCCTCCCTCCGTCGCCCCCGCCTCCTTCCTCCCGTCCCTTCTCTCCCTCCCCTTTCCTGTCCCGCCTCCCCCCTCCCTCTCACGGAACTTGGCCTGGAAGGAAGGATTCAGAGGAACATGAAGTATTTAAGAGGATTGGTAGTTTTCAAAAGTTCCAGGTTTTCCCGTCCTTCCGCGCGGGTTCCAGGGACGAATGGTCGAGCGCATTCCGTCGCGCAGGTTCTTTGCGTGATATGCGCGGTGCATTTTCGCGCATCGGAGCGCCCTCGGAGATTTCAAGCTGCATTATGCTTGGCTCTTGGCGAGTCCGCGAGTCGCAGCTGTCGCGGCGCGCGCTGCGCCCAATCGCACGCGGCGCGTTGCGTGAATCAGCCGGTCGCGCCCGTCAGACCACCCAACGTTATTTCCGGATTGCAGAATATCCCAAAAAGAAAAGACTGCCGCTGTTTTGCGGAAGTGGTTGTGGAATTTTCCCAAAAAGGAGTCCTGAAATTTGCAAGAAGCCGTTTTGAGGGTTGGAATGCGCCCGCTGCGCAGGACATCTGAATAATTTTACAATCCGGAAGTCTTCAATATTGATTCAGGGATTTGTCCAAATCGATTCTGGATGTTTTGGAACCGTTTCGTGAAAAGGTTTCCCAACATAGGCTGGGCATGTTCAGAAACGTTCCAGGATGTGTTTTAAGATCAGCCCCCGGAGAATTTCCCAGAGTCGCACCCAGGTGACAAAGCATCGCGTGTCGCTGGGGCCGCCGCGGTGACACGCTACCCCAAAGTCCTTGACCGTAGCGTGTGACGAGTACCGACGGAGGGAGCCCAAACTTTCGGAGATCCGTGTGGATTCCTTGGGTCGGTGACCGGACTTCCTCACCACATCCCTGGCGGCGCCTCTGGCGCCGCCCCTGGCGCGCTCCGCGCGCCAGAGAACGGGCGCGGGGAACAGGGTGCAGCGCACGCCCATGAGTGCCGCCAGGATCTCCGAGATACGATGTGCATGCCGCATGCCATGTTTTGATTGTTATCGAAGTGAGGGGGCCGAATGGTCTGGGGGACCGAATGGTTTGGGCGCGTTGGTGAAGGCGTATTCCGCGACGCGGATTCTTAGTGTTGTTGTTACGGTTGTTTGCCATTCGCCCCCCCGCCAGTCGCGTTGGTTCCTGAGGTTGAATTCTGGCTGGAGGACGGGCCAGAACGCGAGCTCGAGGCCAGCCCTGTTGAGGCCCCTTCGTCGTAGACGACTACGGGGGGCGCCGCGCCCGAGTGCGCGGGCCAAGCGCCTTTGGCGCCAGAGGAGGCCTGTTCGCAGCCGCTGCCGGGGGCTGAGGACGGGCTCGTCGCCATCGTGGAGCTCCCGTGGCGGGCAGCGGTCTGGTGGCCCTGGCGGCCGCGAGGTGCTTTGCATAGGGGCTGGCGTCGTTCGGGGGCTGATGGGCAGAGTCGGGAATCCCCGCGGGAGTCCTGCATTCACGTGGCGTGATGGCGCTGCCCTTGGGATGCGGCTGCTGGTGCAGTACGGTGATGATCCGAGCTGGACGCTCGAAATCATGTTGATATGTCCGAATTTGGCCGACCAGACTTAGTGGATGGCTTCCACTGCTGGCAACGACTCGTACTCGGACGTGCTCGAAGGCTACAGCGCGGGTGTCCAGTGGACTGGGCAAACTGGCGTTGGGCACGTGGTGGCGCTCAGTCGTGAGCTGCAGCCTGAAATGACGGTCAGCCTGGTGAAGCGTGGCATGAGCGAGACGGACCTCGAGCACGGCGCGGCCGCTACGGACTGGTGGTCGGAGGACTTCGCGCGCGTGGTCGAGCTCTCGGCGGCGGTGATCTTGCGGGGGCGACGCGGATTCGACAGGTACGCTGCGGGCGAGTGGGTCCCGATAGAGTACGTGGTAACGGAGGCGGTCGAAGGCTGGCGAGGTATTGAGCTTTTGGTTGCGGGCCGTCTCTGCCCCCCCCGCGGTCGGCTGCCCGAGATGCCGTTCCCCAGCGTCGTCAGGGGGGCGCTGGCATTGCTACCCGAGGTCGAGGGCGCTGCCGATGCTGGCCCTGTCCCCGCAGACGGGCAGGATGGCCCTGGATTTGCTGGATCAGCGCGGTCGAGACGG